ATAAAGGAAGTAGTCAAGAAAGAGGTCATCAAGTTGTTAGATGCAGGGACTGAAGTGAAAGGGCTGAAATTGGTAGAAATTCGGTGGGAAGAAGAGGCGATGAAAGGCCAAATTGAACCAAGTCTTCGAAGCTAAGGAAGAAGGGAAGGTGCTGAAGTGATGCTGCAGACACATGGAATGATTGATGTGCCTTAAAGCTGAATTAGAGGAACCAAATCTCTCCCAAAAGATGATTAGAAGTAAGGGGGGAAGTTGATACAAGTATGGGTCTCCTCTCTTTTGCTTAACCCATCGGGTAAAGAGGAGACCAACTGGGCCAAGCAAGATTACTCCCCTGAACCTTTATATAAAGCAGCATCAGCAGAAGATGAAGGACAACGAAGAAGTAGGGGTAGATAGTGGAAGTTAACTTAGTTAAGTTAGGATTAGAAACAGAGCATCAGTTTTGAAGTCAGACTCAGGGGTGTCTCTTAAGGAAGCGAGAAGCTGACTCTACAAAGTCAGCTGCACTTTACCACACTCCTTGACTTTGCTCTACCCCTGTTTTCTATCTTTTCTGTTGTAATCATCATGAGGTCCCAACACTTGAACTTTAGTGTTTGAGCTTCCCTCCGTGAGTAGTTAAACTCATTTCAAGGGACCAATCCCTCTACTCTACATAAGTATATCTTGATCCGAGCTCTCAGATGATATTTGTGTGCTTAGTCTTCGAGTTATAATTTACCTCTTAGTTAAATTCGCCGCTTAGCTAACTGTGCTTGCATGTTAGGGGAATCCCAAAAGGGTAAACTTAACTTAGAATGTCTAAGATTAACCGGTGAGGTGGAGGTAATAGCCCGAGATTTCAAACAACGACGAAAGTTAGTTGTTTGGCACGAAACAATCATAAGCGCTTGAGTTCTTAATGGCTTAGTATATATTTTGGAGTTATCAACGAAAGTTAGTTGGCTTGTTGCTGCTAGGAATGCTGTTTGGAATATCTAAAGGAACCTTACAATGTTAATGTGCCTGATTAAACACAGTTTCATACCACAAAGAGAGCAAAAGAATCATCACATATGCATATAGAGTAGAGAAGAGGACGACCTTAGGCTGCTATCACTTTGTCGACTCATAAACTCACTCGCCAATCTCATATTTCTGTTCATACATTGCATTCTTACATTGGAACCCAATTTTCATCTGTTGTTTCCCGTCACTGTGGGATCGACCCTTCTTATCACTTATTACAAGTTTTAAGCAGGTTCATTTCGGTGGTCTCGACACCCATCAACACTCTCACAAATAATCTCACCTGTAAAAAAAACCACAAACTTACTTACTCCACCTTGATATTTTCATATGTTAGTTATTTCATTCTCTTTCCAACCAATCCATATTTAACAAATTAAACTACTTTGAAACTGGATTATTAATAAATCTTACACCAAAAGTTTCAAACCCCAAATGCAAACACAAACAACACAACAAAACTAGCATTCTATTGAGTATAAAGATTAATTACACCAAATCAAATCAAGAAAAATGCAAATATTTCTTCTTTCCGCCAGTTTGAGCTTGTAATTAATCATACTAGGATAATGAGTTTTAATGAGGTTATGAATGTTCTGGTCTTCAATCTTTCTTGTCCAAACTCTGAATTCTTTGTTCTGGTAAAACGGAGAGATATCCCCCAATAGAGGGATCTCTCAATGATGCATAAAATATGGCCCTTGCTGCATAATCTATTGCAATGATCACACTATCAATCTGTATATACCCGTGTATCTTGTTCTCCTTGACTGCAAACTGAGACATGTAGATACTACCGAAACCAATGTAGAGCGTTTTCCAACTCATGCAATTTCGATCCTCATTGTTGTCAAATCGTTAAAATACGAGGCCTTTATCTTGTGAGATACCACCAAGAAGGAGAGAGTGGTTTGGGTTTGATGAAGTTTCCCACATTTGTTTTTGAAGAAAAGAAGCAGCCTCCTCAACAGGACAATGCGACTCTTTAAAGCATCCAATTCAATCATCTTGTCATCTGTACACCAAATTTTCCCAGAGCCACCGGTAAGCATTGATGATGTGCCATTTGGATATCCAACATGTCTAGCGTTCCCACTATCTAAGCTGTTGGTATTCTGTGATTCAGTTGCAAAGATAATTCCTAAGCTTATTATGAACCCAAGTATAGTTGTGTCATTTGAATAACTGTCCATAGTTTGCTCCATTGGTGCTTCAGCTGAATGAAGATTGCGACAACCGAGGGGAGGAGCAAAAAAAAATATGATCGTGGTTCGTGGTCTTCTACTCTGTCAGGCACCACGTTGCCTAAATATATATTGATTATTTACATGATGATAACCATTTTTTTCAGATGAAAAAAAATTACAATATAAGGTTGATTAGATTTTTTATATATGGCATGTCATTTTAACATAATTTAAATATACAAATCAAAAGTAATTATGGAGGAGAAATTTGCATTGAATATAAGCAATAGAAAGACAACTTTCACAAGAATAGAAAAAAAAATTACATTTGATTTAAACTTCAATAAACAATCAGGGGAGGATCACAAAATGATGATTTTTTTGGGGGTTTATTATGATCACTATCTTTATAACAACTCCCACTATATCTGTAAACTTATCAGACTGAAAATTAGTCTCAAAGATAGAAACACCACTTACAACTAATAAGATCTTGTTACTTGAATATAATTAGAAATACTGAATTTTGTATTTAATTTTCAAATTAATTAACTACTACATAAATACTGTTACATGCAAATAACGTTTTCGGATGATAGTGTAAATTAAAAATATTAGATAAGGTTGAATTGATTAACCATTTCATTGTACGATCCTGTAAATATCAATTTTTGCAATGTCGTCTATCTACACGGCCGCTTAAGCTCCACAAGTACGACTTCTGGGCTTGACACTAAAAATCACTTAAAAATTTCCTTAAAAAAGCCAACCTTCATTTTTCTTGATCTTTAGAATATTTTATGTAGTAACATTCCTGATGATTATGTATATATCAATCAGCCAAAAGTGTCACTGAGTTGAAGTCTCAATGAATGCATGTTTTTCAAACATTGTCTTCTTATGGACTTTTTTTTTGGGTCTTCTTCAGTACTTGTTAATTAATAATTTCTAAATAATGTGTTTAGAAAAACTGAAAAAGGAGTTTATTAGCTCAAATATTTCTTGAATTGACTGATACCCTCGAGAATTTTGTTCTTCGCTTGGAAAATGTATAATAGATTGCAGCCAATTTCAGATGTAATAGCAAAATAGACATATATATATATATATATATATATCCATCGCGTTGCTCACTCTATTTAGAACATTAAGAGACTGTTGATCATCTCATTTTCATATTTTTCTTTTAACTAATCAAGTTATTTTATTTTCTTGACAATCGAATGGAAAGATTTTCAATATATACCGTAACTTTGGGTTCACACAAACTAACACATTTACATATCAATTTTCATAAATCCACCACTACTAGTACAACCGATGGTACATGTAAGAGCGCATTGATCATGTGGTGACACTTCTGGCTTAATGATTTGTTGTGCTTCCTTATCAATTGTTGGATCTCTAGCTGCCACCGAAACAGTTGCCGCCATCAGCAAAACCGTCATCAAACTTCTTCATTTCTTCATAATCACGTCCATCCTTCAACTGACTATGAGTATTTCATTCCTGACTTTTTGTTTTTGTGAATTAGCAAAATGAGGGATGCTTTTCAAACATTTCTTTTTCCTATTACCAAAAAGAATTTGGGATTTTTTCTTGGAACCCTCGATCTTTTCATGCCTCCAATGGAAAAACTTGTGGTGTTACTTGCAAATTTGGTACTCAATGGGGAAGTTTACTATAATTATGAAATTCATCATCATGGCATTACTGGCATTCATTTTTTAGTAGTTTTGGAAAGCACAGAGTCATTCGATATATGAAGGGAATAATGTTGATTTCAATTTCATTATTTGTGCTATCAAAATTAACATTTCAGGTATGATGATAGCCCACGACTTGTGAGCTAGTTCAACTTGTGAGGCTAAGAAATTGGAGGATATAATTAATGTCAAGGTATTGCTTTCTATGGAAAAGAGGATCATGGTAGTTTCTTGGATTTCACCATTAGAAAATTTTATTTTGAATACGGATGCATCGAGAAAAGGAGCGCCAGGTGAAGGGGGTTAGAGTTATGTGATTAGAGACGAACAAAGAAGACTAATGCAAGCTGTTTGTGGATATATGGAGCCGACCATAGCTTATGAGTAGAAATAGAAGACATTCTTGTTGGACTCAAACAATGTGAAAGCATTGGATTAAATTCAGTTTCGATTCAATCAGACAGTTAAAGAATTGTTAATCTCATTAAAAATGTAAAGATTTTTCTACGATAAATCATGATCCCCTAACAAAAACCTCAACAATACTACATCTACGAGATTGTTTGTGGGTTTTGAAACTCATTTGACTTTACCTATTGTGGGTTTCTATATCTTGTTCAGAGACCGCTTCTATATATGAGAATTAAATAGGTTCATTTTACTTGTATTTTTTTGTAGAAATGCCATGGGATTTTCGCATATATTGTGAGACATTGTTTACTTGTGGTGAGTATAAGCACTCCCCGTATACTTAAATTTTTACTATTGATAAAACCAAGGGAATCCTCACCAGGTACCATCCTGGATTTATCTTGAAGAAATAAAATATTTCTAAATGATAGTTTTAAATAAAACAAGCACACAAGAAGTCATAATCCAAAAGTATTACAGAAGATCAAATCCAAAATGTTGAATTTCAAAATAAGGATAAAATCAAGACAACCTCCATCATCTGAAATGATCAATGGAATACTCATGCATTGCTAGCTAGGAATGAGAAAAAGATGTTTATGTTTATGGGGTTTAGCATGCATGAGTACTATTAATTGTCTAAGAAAAAGGAGCTCTTCGAGGTATTCCCTTCCTTCTGCGCTTGCTAGTCTTCTTTCTTGTGACCATCATCAAGTCCACTATACGTCGACTCTGCAATAAAAATGGAGGTCTCTCTCCCCTGCTCCTGTAAAATGCATGGACCTGCAAGTAGATTTAGAGTTAGTTGTATACAACTATTATTATTATAATAATAATAATAATAATAATTATTATTATTATTATTATTATTGTTATTATTATTATTCTTCATAGAAACAAATAGTCATTTGGTGAAATAGGTCTAACTAAACTCGAAAATGAGCTAAGTTTTAGGGTCCATAAAAAATCTAAGAGATGGTGCAAGAGCAAAACAAATGATAGCAAGGTTCCGTAACAAGGGCATTTCACTGGTATTCAAGAAACATTAGAGGTCGTTGGTTGTAACTGAAAGACCTTATTCATACATCACTATATGTATACTACAATTTAGCATTAGTCGACTACTACACCTTAATGGAACTCGAGATGAAATATTTAGAACCCTCATTATATCATGGTGTTATGTGTAGTAGATCCCATAAATGCAACACATTGATTATCTTGACTATGTTTATGTTCATGATTCTAGAACTAAATTATTTGTATGAGATTTTTTCTTTTAGAAAAATGAAAGAGTAAAAAGAAATGCAAGAGCACATAATATCTACAATAGCATTTTCTGATATAGGTAGACATAATGAATGATTTATTAAATTTACCTTGCAAGAAATGCAGCAGAAGCGGTACTGTTCAGGGTCACCTAACTTTCTCTGGCAGGTATCACAGGATGCCTCAGCTTCATATTGTGCTCCTGATCCACAGTGTGGGAGAGGATGCAATGAAACAACCCATTTCTTGTTGCACTTGTATGGCTGAAATCCGATAATGTTTTAGCCAAAAACACAAAATTGCCGTCATCAAATAACGAGATAACTGATTACATTTAATTTGTGCATACATTAGGGTTTCAAAATGAATTCAAATTACTTTGTAACATAGTTGCATTATTAGTAATTTTATAATTAGAACATATCCACTTTAAGTTCACTATGGGGACATCACAACTTGAAGAATGAAACACGGTTCATACACGAAAACACAACAAATGATTCCGACATGGAAATCAAAATTCTCATCATGGAAAACTATCATATGGATCAACTAATAAGCTATACTTCTTTGCATTGTAGTAGAAAAATAATTAATGGAACATTATTGTATGACACTATTGTTAAACAAATACACTAAGTAAATTTCAATTGTGTTACGTACCTGGACTCTTTCGCAGTCAAAATGGTCATCCATCTCATCAAAGGGCACAACATCTTGGTAGACATGGCGATAGATCTTGAGAACTTCATGCTCATCATGGAAACCAGATGACAAGCAATACCTACAAGCTTCAGCATCACAAGTGATGCAGTACTTGTTCAGCTCATTTTTTTGGTGGACCGCATGATACAAGCAAACTCCAAAGAATTTTCTCCTCAGCAACGAATTAACCCAATCTGGCATGATTTCTTCAGCTGCATCTTGTTGTTCCTCAGGTTCCATCTCCTCTTCTTCTTCTTCCTCTTCTTCATCTACATTGCTAATTTCTTCAACTTGTTCCCCAGCTTCCACAGTTTCTTCAACTTGTTGATCATCATCTTCCATTTCCTTTGCATGTTTAAAAACATATTAGTCATGTTAGTCTACAAACTACTTAAAAAAATCTTAATTATGATACATGGAGCAATAAATTTAAGAATAATGCTACATATTAAATTCATTCAAAGAAAGACTCAATATAATTGAATCATTCAACCAAATGAAACACACGAGCCTCACTTGCATTAATGGAATATCATTATATACTCATTTAAGAAACCTTGAATTTGAGTAACGATGTTAGTATTCGTGAGACAGTTAAAATTTGTTTTTATGTTGGTGGGAAGTCTTTTTTGGGATAAAGAATATTAAAATATATGATTTTGAAAAGGGATGGATCAAGTAATGAACTTATATTTATCTTAACCTAATGAATTTTACGATAAATATAATTTATGTTTGATATCAACATATAAAAATTTAAGATCTCAAAAAATAATAAATCTAAATAGTTATAAAGGAGAGTGAAGATAAAATCTCAAATCTTATTAAATAGAGGGGTGGAATAAATAACATCTGCCTCAACTCACACGCATACATTTAACTTATAAATTATATTTTGGGGAATAGATATAATGGACTATAAATAAAAGATAACAAAAAATTTATAATAACATATTTGAAAACAGTAATATGATTATGATGGTGATATTTTTAATAATAATACTAACAACAACAACAACAACAACAACAACAACAACAACAACAACAACAACTATAATAATAATAATAAAAACTGAATTTCTCTTCATTTCTAACTGAATCCAAATACTGAAGCCATTTGATTGAGTCTCTCCACACACGTCATTAGTGCTTGTAGTACTTAATTTCATGTTATTTATAGAAAAAAAATCTTTTCTATTAGGTATCGCTTATAGTGATATAATTGCAAAAACAAAAAAAAAATTCCAAAGGCCAAAAATTTAATTTTCAAAATTGTATGGTGATTCAAGCAATAATCTTCATGTTTTATTGGTGACCATGAAGAAGGCCAGTAGATTAGCATAATCTGATTGCTCTCCATATAAAAATCAAATTAATATTATAAAGAAACTTAATTAATCACCTTAATGAAGCAAAAATAATGCAAGAGAAAATCACAAAATTTTGTAGATCTAAAAGTTAATGAGAAATATTTTTTTTCTTTTTTTGGACTGAGAATGATATATACACAATCATGTGATTAATTTCTAGCTAGATATCCTTCTATGAAGCATGATCGAACCATCATAATTTTTTTATAGATTTTTTTTTTGAAAAAAAAATGAAGCAAAATGTGAATCAAAACTCAATGCTCTAGAAGTTTCTGATATTTAGTGAAACAAATTAATTGACATCCCAATATATCTCAAAACACCAAGTTTGGGGAGATATTTGTTTGAAGATCTCCTCAAATTTTGTTGTTAAATTGGTAGCATATGTAAATCAATTGCTCTGAAAACTAGAAAAATTCATAAAATTTCACTCACTATGAAGAAATCATGTATATGCACTAAATTCAACATATATACATTCTATTTTATCATAAATGTTGTTGAATTTTTCAAATTTTCATCATAAACATAAGTTTTGTTTTTTCAATTGGATGATATAAATATAGTGTTTTCAAAGAAATTCTCATACCTGGTTGTTTGGTGGTGGAGTAGATGAATTGGCCATTGCTTTTTCTTTTCTCCTCCTTAGTTTCTTCCCTTTTGACCTCTTTGTTGAAATGGCTGAAGTACTTGCAACCGTATATATATGTATATGTTATATTCAGATTTTATCAATGGAATTGTAGTAATCCCAACCACTTAAAGCTGCTACTTAATTATGTCTTTTGTTTAATTGTCTGAGAAAAGTTACTTGTTTGAAAGTGATAAATGACCAAGATTTGGGGGTACAACGGTACAAATTGAGGAGAACACCAACCCCTTTGAACATAATCTCAGCTTGGATTACACTAGGCTAAAATCTTTATATATTCAAGAAAATAGAATGAGCCAAAAAAGTAGTCTTCTAGTCAAGAGGAGATGCGTTGTAAGATGCAATTCTCGTGAGAGAGGGATACACACTACTCTATGGACCAATGTTTCAAAAACCGGTGTTAAAATTATAAACTTAGCTTCTTTAAGAAAAAAAGATTAATATTGTTAATTTTTTTGGAATTAAGGATGATTATGGTAATTACCATTATTTAAATTCAATGTATATAACCCAATAGAATTTGAGGAAACATTACAATTTATTGATAATAACTGAGGACGACGTTATATTTCATCAGATAATGCCCTATAAACAAAATGTAATTTTCTTCTCTTCTTGTTTGTAATTAACATTGCAAATAATAGAAAAAATGAAAAATTACCTGTATATATTTGTGAAACGTTTTCCTTGCATTTTATGCCATATAGAGCTCAAATTGACAGCTTTCATTTGTTGTTTTCCATAAAGGGAGGGGGAAAATGAAGAATTTTCAGTTCTCAAAGTTTCTAAAGTCTCTCTTTACACCGTGGCAACGGTTATTGTTTTCATCCATTCGAAATATTTCCCAATTTCAAAAAGGAAAAAAAAATCATTTGAAAGGCATCTATTGTGGCATATATTTTAGTTTAATAAATAGATTTTTTTTTATCTTGAAAATAAGAAAAAAAAATGTATTATTAGAATATAAGATATAATGTATATATCTTTGTAGGTTTATGACCAAAGTATAGTAGTGAGAACTTAATTTTTTTTTAAAGGAAATCCAGGGCGGTACACCATCCTTCACTTTTTACGCAATTTTTCCAACCTTTTGTCCGTATTTGCACTTGAGTCCCTTGATCACTTAAAAGCACAAAAGTAAATTAGAAATAAACAACTTGTATTTAACCACCATAATTGACAATGGAAAAGAGGTTAAAAAGGCTTACATCTAACAGTATTTTTGACACTTATCATGAATCTCATGTTTGATTTTTAAGGTTTGTACTGTAATATTACCAATTAATATTTCATACTTGTTGAAACTTTAGTTATGTACAAATTGGTGAGAAGAGTGTGACATTTTCATACTCTCCTAGTGCCGTTCATGTCCGAAGTTAGCGATACTTGTTTTCCCATTATAGTCAAGGTTAGCCTTGGTGCATACTACATAGTTGCCCCATGAATGATAGTTCATACATTTCCGTTGTGTGTCTTTTCAATGTCGATGTTGTTGCAGCTCTAAAGTTTCATCCAAATTTCATTGTGTGTTTATTGTTAGTTTTTTAATGAGGTAATTAGAATCGTGAACAGAAAATTAAGTTAGAGGGGATGATTACTTTTTTCATAGTTTCTCTCTTTTTGAATGGTTGTAAACTTAAAAGAAAGTCCTCAAAGTTACTTTTTGTTGTTGTGTGTTAGCAACACCATCTTTGTAGTAATTTTTCACTTAAACATGTTTTATTTAAATTTTTAGCTATTCTTTTAAACATTTTCAAAATTGTAATTTATTTGGCCTTTATGTATTACTAGCCATGTCTTGTTTGGTCTTCGCTCTGGTCGACAAAGGCTTGAATTGCAAACAACATAAAAAGTAAATTGTAAGCTCATTAATTATGGACCTATAGTATTGTATGTTTTAAATGGGAGAATCACAACACGAATTTTTTCAAGTGTAATATGATCACTATCATTATAATCATATCTACTCTCACTATACTTCTTAAACTTGTTAGACTGAAAATTCATCTCCAAGATGCAAAGACCATGTAGAATTAACAACTAGCAGGATCTTGGTCACTATTTTTTTTTCTTTTTTGGGTTAAACCAGGACAGTACCTTGCCGGCAAGCCTCCCAATTTATTAATTGAAAGAAAATATTATAAGACACAGTGCTAATGTCTCACCATTCTGTCTTAACAAACAAGGATAATTTTGTAAAAATAATACATCAATTCTATCTAGACTATATGTATATATATATATATATATGGGAGCTGCTAGAGTCTCGTTACAGGATGGTTCCATTTTAGGATGATAACCGTGGGATTAATTAGGCTAATTAACAATCATAAAATTAAAACAAGGGTGTATTATAAGGACATAGACCTAAGTACACCTGATTATATAAAATAAACCTGGTACTGGTTTAACCGGTTTATTACTGTTTAATTACTAGGTAGCCAACTAAAAGGGAGGAAAAATTAAAACTCCGCGAATGGTGAACATCTCACCGGCGACACTTTGGAAATTGGGGCTAACAAAATAAATATTATTAAGTTCATGAATTAAATTAAATTATCAAAGGACAAATCCCTTTATACGAAGAAGAAGAAGAAGAATCAATCCCTTCCAGAATCAATCCCTCCAATATCTTGCTGAAAGAAGGAGCAAAGGAGGCAAACAAGGAAAGAGCAACTCGAGGCTGAAGGGTATAAGGAGATGGGGAAAAAGTGTGGCCTGAACACTGGCGACAAGTCTGGCGAGGAGCATGCTTCCGAGGAAGAAATCGAGATTGATGAATCCAAGTACAAGACCATCGGTTGATTCTCTCTAGTAATCTAGTCTATCTAGCTTTGCATCCATGGTCAACCTAGCTAGCTTTTTATCTTTTCAAGTAGTAGTTCCCTTCTACTTGTTTCCAAAAAAAAAAAAAAAAAACACCCCTCCAAGAAGAAGAATCAATATACGAAGAAGAAGAATCAATCCCTCCAAGAAGAAGCTATCACGGAATGCTTCTTCTAGCACTTCTCGATTGAAAACGGCATCCGTCGTTGGTTATTTTCGTCCCAATTGGAAACAAAAAAATTTGCAAAATTAAAGAGTTCATTATTTATGGAGAAAGAAAGTAATCGTGGCAGAAAACTTATTCTAAAAACACGTAAAATGATTCTTATTTTTTAATTTTATCAGATAATTTAATAATTTTATTATTCTGGTAAAAACTCTGATTAGCATGTTTAAAAATATTTTTTTTAAAAAAATTAATGAAAACTAGTTTGGGATTATTTTTTAAAAATATTTTTTAAAAATATCTATATATATATATATATATAGAAAATCTAAAGTCCCGTTGTTCATTTTAATTAGTCTACATGTTACTCACCCCATTATCACATCCTACACCCTCAATTTTAATTGGTTGGAAAAAAACGGGACCGTCCCATTAAAATGAACAACGGGACTCTAGATTTTCTATATATATATATATATATATAGAGGGAAATGACCTCTAATCTAAAATCCAAGATCCTTTAGTAAATGAAGATAGGTCTAAGAGAAGGTGATAGGTCTTAGATTCTCCTGAAGAATCCATACGGGCAAAAGCATCAGTAAATGCATTAGTCTCTCCATATATATGAATTAGAGACTATCCACATCTCTACATAGTAGAATAAATGTCAAAAAATTGCAAATAATGCCTCCAAGGAAAAGATTCCCCACGTCTTAGACCATCAGGCACTATCTTGTTATCAATTTGTATAAACAATTCCCCAAGTTTGTAGTTCCTCATATTTGTGAATATCACGCAAATCCCTTACCTCAACATTACGACAAGAACTCTCTCCAAGAAATCCAGACTCACCACACGAAAATTGGCCACCATCTGCCCTTATGACAACACCATACCCACAATTTCTAACTGCACCAATTACAGAACCATCACAATTTAAAATAAAAGATCCTGGCTTTGGCGAAATCCACCTAGCAAATGTTCGTTCCTTTGGCTTGATAAAACATACGCTACAATTGATAGTATCATCTACATATTTCAGTTCACCTCAATTCTTGACCTTAGATCATGCCCTTTGTACAAAATGTTCAGATACTACATGAATTTCACGTTATATAAGAATATGTTCACCTTCAAACAAAAACTTATTTTGAACTTTCCATAATTACACCTTAATATTAGATCTAACAGCTGAAAAATGTTCCCAACCTTCCCCAAACCATATAGAAAACCAAGTATTTCAGAGTATGATTGTAATCCTAAACCAAGTAATGAAACAAAATGATTCCAAACTCGTTTGGTACAATTGCAACAAAAGAAAGTATGTAAAACACTTTCCCCCTCAGATCCTTGCAAACAACATTGAGATGGGTGTATATATATATAAATAGAAAAACCAAATACTTGAAGAACTCCAGAAATGTAAGTAGGGTAATGCGCAATTCCCACAAGAAAGATGTTTTCAAAGGAATAATTCTATGCCAAATGTGATTTATCTGTTGAACTTTATCACTCATACTCCTAAAAATATCATTCACTGATCGAGTTGTGAAAGGACCTGAAGCTTCCGGTTGCCATATGAGAATATCAGCTTTTGTCTGAAAATGAATATTCATTCCCAAAAAGGTATCTATGGACTCTTGACATAGGTGAAACTCAAGTTCAACCCCATAAAGTTCTATATCATCACAAAATTCATGTATTCTTTAACTTCAGAAATGGGAATCTTTTTGATACAGGCAAGTCCAAAATGTCTCCAATTGGGGACAAGTTTGACTAGAATGAGCGACCCCCAAACAATTACCCTAGAATGAAGAGCAACTGCATAATCAACACTTAGAAACTTTTGACACATTGTCCGCTGCCTTGCACTCTAAGATAAAGAAGTTACAAATCTTGCCCGAGTTCAATTTCGATGCTTCACCTTCCACCACAACTAAGCAGAAAAAGCTTGAATCACACCATGATATTTCTTTACTCCCAGCCCATTCTCTGCTGTTAGAGAGGAAAGCCGACCCCAAGATGTACAATGCCTTTTGTTTGCACGGATCAAGGGCTTCCAGTGCTTTAAGAATAGATTTCGAGGATC